TTCTTACTTATCAAAGTGTTTTAAAACTTTTTTAAGTATCAGTTAGGCATCGACAAGTATCAGTTACAATTTAAAAGTTATCACTTTTTTCCTACTTTCTTTTTTCTTACTTGTTTTACTCTTTTACCACAGAATAAATAAACATTTTTAACAGCATTATTAACATTATCTACAGACTTCTAAAGTGTAATTAATTTCCTATTTCGGTTTTGGAGAATGATCATAAATATATATAATAAAATCGAAAATTTAATAAGGAAAGAAAATAATGTGTTCCTAATGTTTAAAGCAAACTTTAATAGAACCTCAATTTGCAATGAAAACGTATTAAATTCACTATTATGCTTAAGAAATTTGTTATACATATTATTTTATGATAAAAGAAAATTTTCTAAGTATGAGTTGGAATTCAGCCAATTATTTTGAAATTTTTCACAGATATTTATTTAGAAATGCAAGAGTTTTAAATTGTATATTTTAATGGCATGAAATGTTTTTGAATTCTTTTTCCAGTTTATTCGTTATATTTTTGGAATATTTCTGATAATGTTCTTACTATTGTTTAAAAAAAGAAGCTAACAGTCCTAAAAACATTTCATTTCAATATAAAAAACATTCTCTAAGGAACATCCTAAATTTTTAGAAGAGTGTTACTAATCTCTTATACAATTAAATCTCATTTTTTTAAAAAATTCAGAAATGTACCTCGTTTTTTCTAAAATTCCATTTTAACTAAATAAATTGAATATAAAATTTTATATTTCCTAGCGATACTCTTTATACTACTCCACGTTATTCTTCAACAATAACATAATCCTGCCTGTATTGACAGCAATGATCGTCTCGTAATGACCTTAATATATATTTTCAACATCCTTATCAAAAATGAAATAACAAAGCATGCCAGTTAAAAGTCGCAAAAATTAACATTTAAGGAAGTGATAAATAAAAGCTCTATTTAATTCTAGGGCGAAACATGGGGTGGAAAATATCAAAACCATATACTTGATAAAATAAAAACTTAACTTGCTTCAAAAAAATATGAAGATGATAAAAGTCGACATGTTTCGAGTGCTCAAAAATTGGCACCCATTCTCAAGATTCACCTGACGTAAAAATTTCATTTCTCGAGAGTCTTAGGAATGGGTGCCTATTTTTTTCTGACACTAATTTGCAATACAAATTACATTAGTTTTAGCACTAATTTTAAAAAGATTATATTAAAGGGCAGAACCCACATTTTGAATAAATCAACATTCATAAATTATATTAAAATAAATTTAAACTGAACTCTTACAATATATTTTTTTTATATCAATATATTTTTTGATACAAAGAAGCTTATTTCTTACTCTTTAACAAAAAAGCATAATTTAACTATGTTCTTCCTTAAAGAATCTCTAAGGAAGACTGAGAGAAAACAAATTGTTTTTTTTTTTTTTTAATATTTTTTAAAACTGTGCATATAATAGTAACACGGAACCTTTCTTTTTTTATTTATTGAACAACTAACCACTTTGTTAACCTAATTATGTGAATGTTGCGAATTACAGGTTTACAACATGGCCGTTATCACCTTCAGTGGGGGAATCTGAAATTCAGGGGATCACTAACCGTTTAAGAGTATTTGAGGAGTGTTTGGGACTTCTTGAGGATCGCAAGAAAACAATAGAGAAAATTAGTATTGAATACACACTTAAAGAGTTTAAAAATAATAAAGCGCATTTTGATGATAGCAAGAAAAAACAAGTTTAATACCCGCTTTACGATTTTAATGTTTAACGACATCGTGACCTATTTGTAATTTAGTTTTAATTGCGTTAATTAAACTAATTTAATTTAATTGTGTAATTTTTTGTGTAATATTTTTGTGTAATTTGAAGCTTTTGTGTCCCTCCGGCATCTTTAAATTTTCCCTAAATAAATGCTTTTTTTATCTTAATTAAACCTGCATTTTTTTTTCCAAAACAAAATTCAGAAATTTATTATTTATATTGCTGCTTATGAGTGAAAATATGAATAATAACACTGGATTTTAACTCTGATTAACAGGCTAATTTTATTAAAACGATTATCAAAAAAGAATAGATATCAAACACTGCCTTTTTACTTTTAGAAATATAATTAGAAAATTTATCCGCGTATAATTGTTATTGTTTTTAATTATTTATTTCTTCAAATTGAAATTGGAACTTAAAAAGTTTATAACTTGAAAACACTGTTTATTCCTGGCATTTCTTTTTCACCCTTATTATTCTTTTATCTTAATGATTTTTAAGAAAAAAATGCTTGAATGAATAAAAAAAAAATTTAAGTGATGCTAAAACTTAAGCAATTAATGTTTTGAAAAATATTACTTTTTTAAGTGTCGACATTTTTATAAATAAAAATGGAGATTACTAAAAATGCATTATGGGTATCATCATTTGAGATTAATAAGTTTCAATTAAGAATTTTAATATTAAGAATTTTATTATTTATTTTTTATTATTATTATTAAAGGGGTTTTTTTTCGTAAGGAAGAGTAGAAAATTATTTGACTAGCAAAAGAGGTTGGGAACCTATATTGCAAAAGAAGCAAACGCATACTACCTATGTTTCCAAAAAACATAACCACTTAGCTAACATAAAAATTTCTGTTTAAAGTATATGAAATATTTAACTTATAGAAACCTTTTCCCACTCGGTTGTAGTTATTGTGCGAACTAAAAAATTTGAAGAAAAAAATATTTGCATTGAAAAAGATAAAACTGTGACGGTTCAGTGAAAAATATATCCTTGCTGATTTCTCGAGCAAATATTATTTTATACTATAATAATAATTAAAATAGTAACTAATCCATTCGATGAAGTTGCGCTTACTGAAATTTCCAATAGTTCCAAAAATTTCGTTTCGAGAAAAACTAATTTAACACTTATCATTTATTGCACTTACAAATGTCGCAAAAATATAATCGATAAATTAACTTTATATTCCACATATTCTACTGATATGCTAATATTTTAATATGTTTTATAGGCGTAAAACTATCAGATTGTTTTAAAATTATTTTTATTGATAAAATATTCTGCAATTATAAAACTAACAAACTGTTTTGAATATGTTTAATTAAATTACCTGTTCAATTAAATTTGAACAACACATTTTGCGAATATAAAGTTAGCAGCAAGTTAGGTAAAAAATATATATAATCGATTTAACGCTTTAACTACGTTATACTACATACGTGTTTACATTTTAACCATTTTATCTACATGCTGAATGCATAAGTCCCGCAGTGGATTAATCGAAAAGACACGGTTCCCAGTTGAACACCGAACTCAAGCATCACTAGCTGCGATCCGTAAGTGGGTGGGTGACCACTTTGATCAGCCTGCGTAGGGACCGAGGGTTCGCGGTATCGGTCCTCGTTAAACTGTTCCACCGTAAAGTGCTCGACTTCACGCGCAGGTCATTGGGCTACCAAAGCAGGGGTGCCATCCCCTCTTCAGAGGATCAAAATTGCGATGGCATGTTTTCGGATCATCCTCACGGATGTTTCCCAGACCGTCGCCAATAACACATTGCCTAGATCTAGTGCGACTTAAATAAAGTATATACATACCTACATACACAAATAAAACTATCAAATAATATGAAACAAGTTAACTGATAAAAAAAAACAATATGTTAGCCACCAATTTTACAACTATGTCAAAATTTCAACCATATATTTAGAGGCCATAAAAAGTAAAACTTCTCCTCGGCATCCCATCATGGATTTGGGGGATCATGAAAGTTTGGACTTCGAAATTTCGTGATACACAACACGATGGTAACAATATGATCAGTGACCAGTATTGCGCACCAACCACTTTGCTTCACCTTGCATGTTGATATCCATTTATTTGAAGATGGGAGAGCTTTAAGCCGCCACCGGAAATCGAACCCCAGTTCTTTACTACGATAACTCAGTAATCTTAATCACTGAGCCATCAAGGCTCATTAAAGTCATAAAATTATCAATTTTTCAACAAAAAAAAATTATGCATGTTTGTAAGGTTAATTCTTAATATAAGTAGTAAAATGAATGTTTCTCGTATTCACATCGGGCCAATTATGACAGTGTTATATAGTCGTTTACGTATAAAATGTGTCTTGTGATGCAATTTTCCTTTTTAAAGAACCCAATCAGTACTCCCCTATGTTTGATATACTAAATTAAAATATAAAATTTTTCATTTTAAAGTAATTTTACAAAAAAAGAATAAATTAATTTAAAGAAAAGTCCCGGATCATCTAAGTTGTTTTGAAAACTAAGCGATGAACAACTGACGGCTTACATTGCATTTAAGCCTAAAATCCCATGATTATTACAGAATAGAATATATTCATTTTTATAACTTATTTTGCTTAATTTTTTAATACATTTTTTACACATTACTTTATTTTTTTATTACATTATAGTTCACATTTAGTTTCCTAATATTGTAATTTCTTTCATATTTATGTGAGAAGGTTTCTTCCAATTGAAGAATTTTAATCCTTTAACTCCTTTTTGCTATTTTTAAAAATTTTCATATCAATAAAAAGATCATTATAGAATTAGTTATATTAATGTAACTGATTTTTTGTTTGGACTATTTTCTTGGCTGCTATTTTTGATATTTAATTTGATTCAATACAGAATTATCATACTCATAACAAAAATTTTACAGTAAATTCAATCTAAGTTGCTGAATTATCGTCAGTTTTAGATCCCCGAAAATATATTTAAAAAAAAAAAAAAAGAATTTATTTACAAATCACAAGTGGTTCTTTTTTTCATTGGAAAATACTAATGAGGAAAAAAACAAAACAAAGGAGTGCATCTTCGATGCGTTTGTTTCAAATCCATCATCTCCTCATTTGAAAAATTTATTATATTTTTTTAAATTTAATATTGACACATTTTTATTCTTTAAAAATATTTGTAAAAAGTTTACTTCATGTGATAATGAAAAAAAATAATAAATTTTACCTTTTATTTAGAGGATAGAATATCCAATGGCTTCACGAAATGCACCTCATGGAGAAGAGAAGTAATCCGATTGTTCTAATCACATTAGAATGTGGCGGGCAGAAGAATTGCTCTAGAAACTGACCGTTTTTTCTCTTTGCTGGACATCATCTGTTGTTACCTTTCCACCATTCAAGCAAGCCGCTCTCGGTCGGCGATAGGTGGCGCTTTTATCAGATGAAACTGAGGAACTTGACATCGTTTGCATTAGATTTCCGAATTCAAAAACATTAAAACTTCAGACATTGTTTGCTTTCGGATAATTTAAAATTTATCACTTACCGTTCAACCTTAACATTGGATTTTTGAATTTTAATGATATAAGGGAAGTTTGTCTTATGAATTATAATTTTTCAAGCATTAAGGCTACATTTGCTGCAGTTAAAAATTAGGTTACTCTTGCAAACGATTTTAAAACTTGAGCGATAAATTTAGAGATTTTATTTCCCTTCAATGGATTGGATCAAAGTTTAAAAATACAAGTGATGGGTTGCTTAATCCATTATAGAGTAATTATCATGGTTTAACCTTTCAAATACTTTGAAACTTTAAGATAATTATCAAATATTTAATGAACTCATCATAAAATGTAATGGCTTGTAATATTATAATTACAAACCATAAAACAATCAAATTTCAGAATAAAATTATATTAAGCATTAGATGGACGATTTTTTTTCCTGGTAAAAAGGGAATCAAGCCAGGGGAACAAAATAAATTTGCTTATTAAAATCTAAATTAATTTCCACTTTGAATATTTTAAAATATTTTGAATGCTTGCTATTGCAATAGTAAGAAAAGGAATAACGTAAGGAATCAAGCAATAAACAAAAATATTTCAAATTGATACACTATAAAAAAGAATTTTTTAATACTGGACAAAAATGTGTCAAAATAGCTCCGAAACAATAATAGTCGCATTTCAAAACCCAATGTATTCAAAATTGAAGCAGTATACTCATTTTTGAGAAAAATGCATGTGGTGAGAAAAATATTCGTCTACTGATGGCAGGAATCGAACAAAGGATCTCTGAGAGGATACTCTAATCACCATAGTTGTACACCGAAGTACAGAATGAGTTAGGTAGTTTTATACAGTGGCCACCACAATTACACATTATGGTATACCAATTTCCAATTTCAATGGTACAAAGGCCACTATAGTAGTACACCAAAGCACAGAATGAGTTAGGAATCTTTATGGTGTACAGTGCGCAGAAAAAACGGACCACCCTGAATAACTTTTGGTCTAAAGATCGGATCTTCACGCTCTAAGACTCAATCTTAATGGTTCAAGGGGATGACCTCAAATATGCTAATTACTTAGTGTAGACGATGTTTTAAGTTACGAAATCAGACACAAAATCGTACTTTTCATGAATAAACATACCTTTTTTTCCAACAGATTTGGAATTCTTATCCCAAAATATAGTCAGTAGCCCCAATCTGGGAAATACGGTCTCAATAGTTTAGCCAGGACAGCAGTCCAAATTTTGGACCCCTCAATGTTAATTCTATTTTTTGCATAATTCGCCATATCTTAAGAAATTTTTAAGCGAACTGAAAAATTCTTGCACACAAATTATAAAATTCGTTCATCTAAAAATAATTCCTTGCAAAAAATTCATTTAGTAAATATTTAATTTTTTTTATTTCATTTAATAATAGTCAAAAAAATTTGAAATGTAAGGTATACCATTTTACATTTTTTAAAGCACGTAATTTTGTATGGCAAAATACAAAATTTGGGTGAAATCGGTTGAATAGCTCATGAGAAACTCAATTTTAGAAAACTGTTTATTTAAAATTCCATTTCTCAGAAATTATTCAACCAATTTCGCTCACTCTTTATATTTTACCATGCAAAAATACGTAGTACTTTTAAAGGAAGTAAAAAAAAATTTACCTTACAATTTAAAAACTTTTTGACTATTATAAAATAAAATAATAAAAAAAATATTTACTAAAATTATTTTTTGCGTGGAATCATCTTTAGATAAACAAATTTCATAATTGAGTGCAAAAAATTTTAATTTGCTTAAAAAGTTCTCGAGAGAGTAAAATTAACATTATGGGGTCCAAACTATTGATCGCTCTCCTGACCAGGCTATGGGAACTATATTTCCCAGATTGCGGCTGCTCCCTACATTTTGGGGGGTCAAAAATCCAATCCATTGAAAAAAAAGTAAATTTATTCAAAGAAAATACGTTTTGTGTCTGATTTCGTAACTTAGAATATCGTCTGCGCTAATTAATTAGCATATTTAAGGTCACCCCTTCAAGAAATTAAGATTGAGTCCTAGAACGTGAAGAACCTATTATTAGTTGAAAAATTATTCAGTGTAGTCCGTGTTCTTTTCTTTTTCTTTTTTTCTCTTTGCACTGTACAACTATAGTAGTAGTTAGAGCATTCTAGCACTCTACTGCGATCCCGGAGGCGATTTTTGAATCTAGCACCGTTTATAACGATCCACTCTCTTGTTTGGCATTTTCTTAAATAAGTAAATAAAATAAAAAAAATTTAAAAATTAAAGGAAGTAAAATAAAACTTGATTCTTTGTTGTTGTTTTTTTAGATTAGGTAACAAATTTTAAAAGAAATAACAGCTTGTATTATAATTGGGACCAACCACAACCAAGAGAAAAATATCCACACACAAAAAAAGAGAAGTCGTTAAAGGTTGCTGGATTGTAAATTAGCATCCCGGAGGTGCTTGGTACGAGAGATACTTAGATACGTTAGAGATACGTGAAACATACGTTCACTCACTCCCTGCGATATTATTTCCAATGCCAATTTATAATTGCAACTCCAATAACTTTAGGAGCACTTAAATTTTAATTGAAGCTCTGTGCTGTATGGCAACACAAATTTTAATCATTTTCTGATAAGTGAAAACATAATCTACATCCATGTTATCTCCAATTTACATTTATCGTCAATCGAAATTCCGACCACTTCCTAATCATCTAAAGGGTTAAAATTGTAACTACAACTCCTCTCAAGAGAACATTATGCACGGTGAAAACTTTTCACGGCAAATTCTGTTTCACCTTCACTTCAATTTGGCATTTTAAACTTTAAAGTCAAGAGAAAAATAAGTTCAGTTACACTTAGAGAAAGCTATGAAGTTTCAAATGCTGAAAAAGTGTTTTCATAACATCAAATTGCAAACAAACTTTAGCAGGATTACTTCACCATTGCCTAATCCTGAGCTAAGCATTTGAAACTTCTTGGTTTACCTGTACACATTCTTTCTGTTCTTAAAAATTTTAAATTCCTTTTGTCGATGTAAAAGAATTAGCCATGAAGAATTTCTCCTACTGTACAGCGTTTACTTAACAATAAGCCAAGTCTTAACTGCATTTCCTGATATCTAAAAGAATTTATCGTTATAAAATTTGCCAAACAGAAATTATCGTTAATAAAAAGTTTCAGCTGCTTTTCAATTAAAGTGATCAAATTCCATCTGGAGTTCTATATATGCTGCCAACACTAGTTTAAGTGATTACCAGGCATTTCCACAAGGAATAAGTCATCAATTTTTCGCAAAATAGAATTTCAATCGAACCACTTCCCGATCAAATTGAATCAAACCGTCTCGAGAGGGTGGTCGAGTAGCGTCACACACCCGTGTATTTACAGGTAAGAACCTCCAAATTTTCAACTATTCAGGGAAAAAGAAAAAAAAAACTTACTCTCGTGATCTTTTAGAAACAGCATAGAGGCCGAAAATGTTTTTACTTTATGATCAATTGAAAACAAGGGCATGGGAAGGAGAGATATAAGTCTGATATTCCTATTCTTTCTCGACAGTGGCCGAATTTTATATTTATTTAATGCGAATTTTAAATACTATTTCTTTAGGAGTTTTTTTTCCCCTCTAATATAAGCGCCATAATTATTTTTTTCTTTAATGTTACATAGATAAGAAAAACGAACGACCATGTCTTAACGGTTGTTTTAGACATTGTTCTTAAAAAGGGTCATCAATTTGAAACATATCTGGTGAATAAACTATTTATTTCTGGATTTTTTTTCAAAACTTCTTACATCTATATTCTATCTCTGGTATTTTTTTTAAACTTTGTATATCTATAGAGGAACATTCTCTATAGATATGCGAAGTGTTCCTTAAGAACCGCCTTTAGTATCTATTTTTAGAAACCTTATCAAGAATGATAACACAAAAGTTTGCAAGTGGGGGTCTCAAATTAACATATGAGTGAGAAAAAAATAAGGTCTGTGTGTGCACTGTAGTTTACTCATTAATATTTTCCTTCACTAAGAATATTCTCTATAGATATGCAAAGTGTTCCATAAAAGCCGCCTTTAATATGTATTTTCAGAATCCTTATCGAGAACGATAACACAAAAGTGTGTAAGTGGGGGTCTCAAATTAACATTTGAGCAAGAAAAAAAGGCAAAAATGTTATCAAAATCTGAAAAATTACTGTAGAAAAACGGGAACATCAGAACAGATTTTGGTTGAACTTGATGGTTGAATGGAGGTTGAACTTGAAGGTGTTTCTTCCAACTCCTCTTTGTTTCCTCCGCAGTCAAATTTGTCTTGTGCCCTTTTGCACTGTGATTTGCCCAAGTTCGTTAGTGTATTTGTTTTTCCTCTGTTAATCATATTAATTTGCTCACACTGATTCATTTTTGATAAAGATTCTAAAAATATGCATGAATTATGATCTTTGCAGAACACCCTACATTAATATGTTCACAAATATGCCCGTATATCACACAGAAAAAAGCCACATGACACATCGTGATAAAAGGTATTACAATTTAAAGTATTCTAGAAAAATATTTATGATCTGTGATTATATTCTACAAAGAAATTAATAAATAAAATGTTGAAAACAACTTAAGTTGTTTATTTATATTAATAATAATTACTTCATTTATACGAGCCTTAGTTACTTATTCAACCATTGTTACTTATCCAGCCGTAGTTACTTCTTTTATAATTCAAATCTGAATGCCTAAAGAGCTTTTTATAATTTATTTAATTAATTTACCATTTTTTTCCTTAGGGTTATTTAAGTTTGCATATGGACTACAATATCACATGTAGATTTCTTATGGGTCATCTTCATTCCCCGC